GGTGGCTGTGTGCGTTCCAGGGAGGAGAGGTGAGCTGGGCACGCTGCAGCCCCAGCCCCAGCTGGGCAGGGGTCGAGCACCCCGAGTTCCTCGCTGGATTTGCAGCTGGAGGTGAGTAGGTCCGGGCTTCCTCCAGCTTTGCGGGGACCTTTGCATCACCCAGGAGCCTTCCCAGGGAGACCCCCAGCTTTCCTCATCTCCTCTACCTGGTGTGTCTGTGTCCCCAGAAGGAGCTGTGCCGCTTTCTCTGCCGGACTTGTAACGAGTGAGAAAGCCCAAATGAATGACAAATTAAACACTTCTCTTAGTGCCCTTCTTGGCTGGGCAGGGACCAGATTTTTCTGCTGAAAACGCAGTAGCTTTTGATGCATGTTGCTGGTGAGTTTGCCTGTAGCCCTCTCCTCTTTTCAGCCAGGGTTCCTGATGTAACAGCACAGCAGTAATGTGTTTGGGCTCCTTCCCTGTCCCTAGACTGTTATAAATGACCGTCAAGACAAATGAAAGGCGTACCCCAAACCTTTGGGAGGCAAGTTGATAATGAGGGTTATCAGTCCACCCGCTTTGTGGCCACTCTGTGTCCTCTGTTGCATCTCTGGTCTGATCTTGACCCCTCAGTTAGGAAGAACGCTGCTAGGGCAGCACAGCCACGCACCCAGGTATCGCCCTCTTCCTTTCCTAGGAAAACACCAGTGCTCCAGGGCCGCAGGAGTCTGAGCTCTCAACTCTGTGACGGCCTCAAACCCCCTTCAGACCCCACCCTGTTGGGTAGGAGCAGTGATACCAAAAGCCCTCCTTACGCGTGTCCCCTCTTTCAAGTGTGGCCTGGGCAGAGGGTGAATTCCCTGGCACGTGCAGAGGTAAACGGAGCTTGTACGTCTGTTCCCTTACGGTGGATTTTATTCTTTTCGGTGCAAACTGAACACACCATGTACAAAATGTAGCAACTTTGTTTACTGTTTAGCTACACAAAAACTTTAAAAGGTGGTGCCGGGGCTCCCCCTTTGCGGGGGGCTGTAGGGGGTTGGTCAGGTAGCACCTGCAGTCTGAGCACTCGCCTCTCCAGCAGCAAAGTGCTGCTCGACAGGGACTTAGGGAACTGAAGGGAAAGGTCTTAGTTTTGTTTCTTCTTGTCCAAAAAAAAAAAAACAAATCTCCAGCACAAAGGCACATTTAGGATATTTCTGAATTGAATCGCTGAGAAACAGTCCAGTGAGGCTGAAATCTGGTACGCAGGCTGCCTTTCAGAGCCGCTGGTTCCTGCAGCTTCCTCCCTCGGCCCCCTTTTGCGCTATACAAGCTCCTGAACAGGTATTTGCTGCCAGGCTGTTTGCTTTTAACTCCTGTTACAAGATCTGGCGTTTGTCCCAGATGCATTTCCTATTAGCGATTGCACAACCCTGCGCTGCAGTAGTGGTACAGGAAGCCAGCAGAGACATACGACCTGTCGTCAGATAGAAATCTCCCTGCTTAGTTGTTTGTTCTAAAGCTGCTTCAGCGGGTGCTGAGGGAGGTTCTCTTTTCTTCATCAGTTGGCCCTTGTGTTCAGCAGTGATTTCTCATTATAATGGTCTTGGATCGATTACACGGAGAAGCGAAAGGCTTCCTTCAATAGGAAGAGCTTCCTAGGAAAGATGACACGGACGTATCTTAACGCAGCTTGTGAGGGGTTTTTTTTCTGCATTGCCATCTTGCATCTGGAGCAAAAAGGCTGGTAAACCTGCACGAGAAGATGAAGTAGCCCTCACATAGTGCAGTGTGGCTGGGAAGGGTCTGGGTCACTCCTCGCTTGCAGCGGTAGAAACTTGGAAAGACTGGGGGCAGCCATCTCCCGTAGGCAGGCAGCTGGCCAAGAGCCACGTTCCCATAACCCTGAGTGTCGATTCTGCAGGCCACATGGGGTACATCCTAAGCTTTTTTTTTTTTCTTTTTTTTTTGGGGGGTGGGGTAGGGGGTGGCGGCAAGGTTTGTCCCCGATGGATCAGGATGGGTTTTTGTTCTTTGTAAGGACCTCTAGGCCATGTGCTGTGCTTTGGCAGTACATCAATAGAAACCTCTGCAGCCAGCTGAAAGCATATTTCGAACAGATGGGTTTGGAAACTCCACAAGGAAGAGAAGTCTTTACTGAAGGTATTGTAGTAGTCTCACCAGTATTATCTGTCCCATCTGCAATGCATAAAGTTGGCACAAGCCTTTCTGACCCTCTGAGGTGTGTTTCTACCCCGCCGCTACTCCTCCTGGCTGGCAGAGGGCAAGCACAGACCTGCTCGAGCCTCTAGCAATGGGAGTCTTAGCACATTATACAACGGACTATCTCAACGCTTGGATCCAATTTGGCAGCGTTGCTTGAGCGTGGAAAGGTAAGGAAAGGCAAAGGTTCAGTGATTTTTCTTTTCTTTTCTTTTTTTTTTTTTTTTCCCCAAAAGAAAATTTTGCTTTCTCTGACTTTCCAGTCAAATGTTGGAAACCCCGAGTTCAGGTTCCGGCACTCCAGAGGCTGACCCTGCGGCCTTGTCCTAGTGCGAGTGAATGCAGCCTGCGCTGTCAAGTTGGGTGCCTTGTTCTTTCTCTGCCCACCTGAGCTGTCAGTGCTGGCTTTTTCTCTTGACAGCGACTCAAGCGATTCAAAATTTTGTTTCTTCCTGCTTTGCTTTGCGGTAGGTGACCATATGAAAAATCCTGCTTAATATGAGCGCGCTGCCCCTCACTTCCTCTCCTGGATTAAAGGATGAACTTGGGGAACAGCAACTTTGGAGATTTCTCTTAAATTCTGCTCTCACTGGTTTGGTAGAGTTGCATTTTCCTGTTGCAGAATGCAAGGAGGGGAAAAGGATGGGAAGAGCTTAAATGAAAAGCCATTTAAAAATCATCTTCTAGTTTTTAGAGAAGTGATTAAATATGCTAAATATGCTTAGCTCCTGGCAAACCCAGCACCCACCTTGGGGTCAACCGTCAGCAGCAATTCCCCAGTAGCTGAGAGTTACCTGGACAAGCTCTTGGCAGAGCGGGTGCTGTTATGCAGGTGACCGCGTGCTTTGGAGTCCTCCACGCAGTGGACAGACATAAGCCCTGTGAAGGGCCTGGCTTTAGAAAGCGGGGCTGGAGTCTGGCTTTGCTTCGCAGCACATCTCCTGTACCGTGCTCACCCTGGGATCGCGCGGAACAGCTGCAAGGTTTTGCATGTGAGCCTGCGCTGGCAGACGTTGTTAATAACTTGAGTTCTTGTGCTGAATAGCTCCTAGGTGGCCTCCGCAGAACATTTGCCTAACAAATGGGCTTTAGATCACACGATAGCATGCAGCAGGCCTGCAGGCGCATCTAGATAACTGCTGCCCCTCCTTGAAAAGTACCATACCAGATGCCTTCAGCCACACTTTGATTCTGATCTGCCTCTGCTTGGGCTGCTCCAGCACTGAGAGTGGAAGCTGCTACAAATCTCTTGCAAAAATAAGCCTGACGTCCTGCGCTCCAGAAGGACAAAACCACGGTACCACTACTATTAGGCAGCCTGTATGAGCTCATGGACTCCTCCGTAATTCTCCGCTCCTCCTGCTTTTCTTTCTTGCTCTTTCTTCCCCCATCCTGCTTCCCCAATAAAAGGGGAAAAAACTCTGACCTAACATCTAAGACTACACCTAACGATGGTGTAGCCCCTGTAGTCCCCCCTCTGACTTGCTGAGGACTGGAAGGAAGGGGTGGCTTTCCGGGGAAGCGAGGTAGCTGAAGGGATCCAAACGGGCAGGGTGTAAAACTCTGCTCAGCTTGGCTCTGCTACGGCTGTGCTGGGAGCTGAATGCGGGACCTCAGGACAGGAGCATCTCTTGTTCCTCCTGCTCTCCCCACAAGCCCGAGTGTGTTCCCAGGTGAACAAGAAAGCGTTCAGTTCCTTGCTGCTCAAGAGTTCTCCTGGGCTCTGGAAAGCTTCCAGGGTTTAATGTGCTGCTTCCTTTCCTCTGAAGTAGGAGATAGTGTTACTAACAGTGCTGTGTCTGTTCCCTTGTCAGACACGCAGCTCTTGTGGCACTGCCTCTGCACACTGTCTCTGTCAGGTTTTGGTTTTGTGTTGGTTTTTTTTTTTCTTTGCTACATATTTTAGCCATGTGGTCTGCTATTGGGAAGAGCAGCTGAGCAATCTCTGGAGCAGTGCTCTAGCAAGATAAATGTGTTGTATCAGGCAAAGGAGGCATTCTTGAAGTCTTTCTAATTTTGGGTTATTGCAGTGGTTTTTTTTGGTTTTTTTTTTTTTTCCTTCTGGAAGTGTTTTGCTCTTCCTACAGCACTGAGGTCTGGCTCTTGAGTTAGAGAGGACTGTGGATTTGGGGCAGTCCACAGCAGCTTGGTGTAAGCCATTACATGATCAAACAGTAAGTTGGCTGTACGCTGTGATACTGAATAGCCTGTCTCGGAGAGACGTGGGCAAATATAATACATCTTTGACTCTGTCCTGAGTGCAAGCAGGATGATGGAAAAGGATACCCAAGTACCCTTTGCCCGAGGAAGCTGCCTACAGGCTGGGTTAGATTGCCTTGAGCGGTTCCAACTGGCCTAGCATGGCCGGGTCCTTTCCAAGAGTTGTTACTGGAGTGAATAATGCTTTCATAAAGAAAGCAAAGTAAATCTTGCCAAATGACAAAGACAACATAACATTCCTGGTTGAAATCTAGCAATAAATATCCTGTGTACTGATGAATCTGTATCTGGAGCCTTAAGTGCCAGAGGATCTTATTTAAATTGGAGTAGGCTGACTCGGTTAATCATAATTAAAATCAGCAAGCAGGAAACAACAGATGCTAATCAGAGTTTAAATTTTTCTTGGAATCCCGCAGAGTTGATTCTCAGGGGTAACTATTCAGGTGCAGAGCACTTCTAGAGCTACCATGCTAAACACAGTATTAGGGGGTTGTGTTGTGGTTTTCTGTTGTTTTTCTTTGGTTTTAATTGGCCATTACAGTACACTAACGAAAAGTGACTTAGCCTGGGATCTGTTGGCTGTACCTGCTGCCTTTTAAATGAAACTGCATAAACTGACACTAAAATACAAGCCGCGCTTCAAACAGCAGTACCAACGAGCTCGCTTATTCTTGTGTGCGCAGTGCCTCTGCGCTGGTGTGTTGGCATTAAAAAAAGCACCAGTCTGCCACAAAAAAAGACTTGCAGACAACTTTGATGGTGTAGGTTTGGTTTCAGGAAAGCTTATCCCTTCAGGGGAGAGCCAATAACTTGTATATGCATGCGTTGCAGTAATATTTGCAGAGTTCTCTGGACACAGGTGGCTTCTGATCTCTTTGATCAAAGCTGCTTGGGGTGGGGGAAGAGGAGAAGGAACATACGCGGCTGGTGGCTTGAAATGGCTGTGTCTGATTGCACTCGTCTTGGTCCTCCTCTCTGCGTGTTCCTTCTAGTTGCAGTCGGCAAAAGAATAGGCTTTTCTGCAACTTTTAGGTTTCCTAACTAGATTTTTCAGCTGATGTTTGTAGCAGGTGGAGTAGCATTCTTGAAGACCAAAGCTGTCTAAGTTAGCTTTATGCCTGGAAGCTGCTTCTGAGAAACTTAAACCACTGAAGTGGGAGTTGCTTGTTAACTAAGTAATTAACTAAATGGAAAAAACATTGCATTTTAAACCTGATTTGCATGCAGCAATTGTAATTTCATGCTGTTTATGTTCTGGAGAATGCTTAATGCTACAGTGTTTGGAGTTCTTAATTGAACACATTGCTTACTTGCTTCAGAAGCCTCTCAGTCGCTGTCACTGCACAAAACATCTCTGGCCTTTTAGCAAAAGTTACAGCTTGTTGCTGTTGGAGAGTAAAGCAATCTGACTATAAATAAATGAACAAACCTTGAGAAGCCAGAGGACTTCTGGAGTTTATTATCAAGTAACTGGACAGTCCAAAGCCACATAACTATTGCAGGCCTTGACATGGCAGAACTATTTCATGCCTGACTATCAATAAACAAAGTAGCGTGTTCTGGGCCTTTAATCTGTTGAAAACCATCCCATTAAGTCCTATCCAAGGGAAGGAATGTCTTCTGGTTTCGTGCTTCTGACTTGTTCCCTTTCCTTCCCCCTCCCCTTAATAGCCTTAACTGCAGTTGTAGATTGTCCTCAGTGGGAGAACAAATTTTCTAAACAATCCTGGAGAGAATTCTGCAGAATATGAACTGAGATAAAAGATGTAATGCATTATAGCTTGACAGAGGACATGGAGTCCCTAAGTGTCTCCAAGTGGTGAAGGAAGTACTCTTTCAAAATCGGCCCTCCTGACCCCTATTCCCAAAGGGCTCCTAAAGAATTGGATTTGTTTGTCCAGGGTTGCTCAGTCTCCTAAACATGGCTGGGAGTACGTAATCCATCTGTTACATTTGGCCACGCTTCCCGCTTGGCTACATGGCACAGAAACATTAAGTATTCCAGCTTGGCTTATAAATGCAATTTGGACACACTTTGTCCAGCAGCACCACCAGTATAGTGCTGGTACATTTTCTCCAAGCGCTTCCTCTACTGAGAGGTAGTAGACAGATCACTGAATTACAGCTACCTAGCAGAGAGAGAACTGATCCCGTGTCCAGTTGCCGTGTACATAACCAATTTCATGTGTTTTACCTTCAAGTTACAAGAACTGAAGCTAACGAGCGTGCTGGGAAACAGAATTTCCATGGGAAAATTGCTAGGAAGACTTTCCTGCAAACAGTAATTGCCAATGGCTTTTCTTAAGCATTCCTGTTGCCCTGAACTGGCGTCTGGAGCTAGCTGAGCTTCAGGAAAATAACACTTTTCTTGCAGAAGTGGGGAATTACCGGCTTGGAATGCAGTCTGAGCACCAGCTCTGCTGTGGAACTGGCAACGATAGCCGCTTGATAACCCTTTGGTTACGCTGCAAACACACCCTCAAGCTATACACACTGAGAAGTAGCTCTATAATCTGGCGTGCTGGTATCTTGACTAAGCAGGTAAAGAGTCCAGTTCCTTGGAGCAGTTGACCTTGCTCTCAGGAAAGCTGCTCAGCAGCTTGGAAAACAACGTAGTATCGCTGCCTTCAGTCCAATTCTGAAAATGAATAGCTGTTAAATTCTGGAAGTGCAGATCTCAAACTGTTTTATGTAATAGCCCTTGAGAGAGAGATATATACAAGGTAACACAAACAACTTTTTCTTCCTAGGAACTCCAGCAGCTTAGCAAGCAATACAGCAATATCAAGCTCCTCCAACTGGGTGAGTAAAGGGCTTACACAGCAGTATGTTCAACTAAGTCAGGGGAGTGCCTCTTAAGAAACTCCTGGGTGATCAGTAGCTATACACGACCTCCAGCAGCTGAAAACCATCACCCTTATCTTCAGATAACACTGGGAAAGCATGACCTACGTAAAGACTTCTGTGCTTTGTCATCTCCATGCGGCCTGAATGTCCCTATTCAGACTAATGCCTTAGCTTTGGTTTAGCATGTGTTGTATAGGGACAGATGGCATTTGAACCACCCCGTTCACTGTGGCTGTTCTTGGCTCCTCTGTGCAGATGTGGTCTGTGAAAACAGCATCAAGAAAGTAGTCAAGGAAGTGGAAGAAATTGTGGGAGACAAAGGTCTGAACTGTCTCATTAACAACGCTGGCATCAATGTGCTTGCTTCCTTGGAAGAAGTCACAGCAGAGTCAATGCTCACCATCTATGAAACCAATACAGTTGCCCAGCTGATGGTCACCAAGGTAAGAGTTGGGAGAAATGTGCTTAATCTAATGGTACTATAAGAGACTTTCCCACTAGTGAGCTGGACATGTAACCCAAGCACTTGTCACCTCAGGACTGCATAGATACAGGTCTGATATCAAACTGCATGCCTAGAGAGCAGAAAGAGATCCTTCCTATCAAGGATCTTTCTCTTTTTATTTAAATCCATCCAGTATGAGGTTACTTCAGAGGACAGGATGGGCTAGAAGGTGGGCAGAAGAGACTGAGGGTCCTTGCTACTTACAGCTGGCTATTCTAGAAAGGTTCCCTGTGGTCAGCTTGTCTGGGGAGCCATCACCATTCTGTGCTGCCGGCACGGAGTTGTACTGCAACTCTTCATAGAGCAGAACCTGAGAGTCCAGCTTGCCTTGAATGAGCCAAGAGCAAGTTGACCAGATTGAAACAAACTCTTGTTGTCACAGGCGTTTCTACCCCTTCTGAGGAAGGCAGCCCAGCTGAGCACAGGAATGGGCTGCCACAGAGCTGCCATTATCAATATGTCCTCTCTTGCTGCCTCCATGCAACTCGTCCAGGCGAATGAGATGTTCCTCAAGGTCTACCCCTACAGGATAGCAAAGGTTTGTAGGCTTCTCTGAGGTATGCAGCACTTCCTTGGATAGCCTGACACGGGAACTGTTCTTGTTCTTCATGTGGGTGGAAATGGGACGTGTGAGCACTGTACATCTGGAGCAAGCATGCCAACTTCTTAAGAACAGGCTCGCAAATGCTCCATCACCATTCTGATATAGGTCCCTTTCAGAGGGACTTGACATTCAGGGAAGAACTGATGCCATCAAGTGTGTGTCCTATTAGCTGTGTTCCTCTCCAGTCCAAGCAAGACAGCAGGCATGAAACTCAACAAAAGGTGTGCTGACCGCTGACCTGCACGTGGTAATGCTAGTTAGCGAGAGGTGGAGTTTTGAGTTTTGTCACATCCAGAGACTGAATTTTTACAAATAGTCAAGATCAGACATACAGTTTCTCCTACACCGCCTACTCATAAGCTGTTAATATGCCTGTTTTCCCTGTTCAGAAGTAAAAAGCTCCATGTTTGTGTAGTGATTATTGCAGAAAAACAGAGTCCTTCTGTCAATATTATTTTCCCCACAGCTCCTTAGGAGTTTCAAATGCTACTTTATCTTCCATCATAAGTTAGTTTCATCTTTGGGCAGTAAGCTTATGGTGATAGAGCTTTCACAATGCTTCTCTTAACTTACATCTCTGAGAATGAAGCCCCCACTAAGTCTGGATAAGTTAGTGTGATACTGTTACTGCCCCTTCATTTGTCAGGAGACAGCATGGTGGAAGGGAGGTGGCAATTAGCTTGGCTTAAGGTCTTGCTCAAGGTTTGTAAAACCAGCACACTAATAGACAGTTTCCACTCCTGCAGACTGCACTGAACATGATCACCAGGTGTCTTGCTGCAGACTTGAAAGCAGATGGAATTCTCTGTATTTCTTTGCATCCAGGCTGGCTTCAGACAGACATGGGTGGAAACATGGTAAGTGACATCTCTGAAAATGTGAAAGTATGATGCCCTTCTTGTCCCAACCCTTGAGCAAGAACCCACTGTACAGTGTACACTCCCATGTGCTGCAGAGGTCCCTATGAAACATGAAAATACATCCCATTTGATTTTAGTAATTCCTTAAATGCATTTGATCCTCTTCTGTAGGAGATTCCCGGTAATAATCTAAGGTTGGTTTGCTCTAGGCTCCCATGCAGGTGCAAGAGGCTATCCCAGGTATTCTCTCCGTGCTGGAGCATCTTGGTGAAAAAGAAAACGGTTCCTTCCTGGACTGGCAAGGGGAAACTCTACCGTGGTAAAGTGCACAGTATGCTACAGAAGCAGCATGTCAGTCACTATTTAACATGTGCCACTAATGTCTGTATCTCTAGGGTTTTCTTACGTGCCAGTTGAAATAGCCAGTCTGACATCCAGCCTCTCTCTAGGAAAGTGAGGTGGCTGACTCTCTTACTTGGTATTGCTACTGCTCTGCTCCAATGCTTCCTGCAAATACTACTGTGCTCTTTAGTGATGGGTACCTCCTGGGACCATCAGAAATAAATTTAAAAGCAGCAAGTTAAATCTAGGGGCTGGTTCCTCTTCACTTCCAAAATCAAAGTGGGCCTCTCGCGCTTTGACCTCAGAGTAACTCCAAGGTAGGCTGTCAGATTCCAGTATGGTCAGTTGGCTGGAGACATGTCTCTGGAAAAGGTCCTTTGGTTTCCTTCAGTCCTAACTGAGCCAAGGCTGAAACTGCCCAGCTCTAAACTACATGAATTTCATACTTCTGCAAATTCCTCAGCAACCTCTGAGTGTCCCCAGGTTGACAGCACACAGCAGGCACTTGCTTTGTTCCCCGTGGGTGACTAACATCCTGATATGGGGGTGGGAATGTTGTTTTGTACCTGAACTTCTGTAATGTCTTCAATAAAGCCTTGTTTAAACAAATAGTCTGTTTACTAAACCACTTCAGTTAATTTCTCCATATGTAGCTTTCTCTGAGTAGGTTTCTCTTCCCTGACCAGGGAACTGTACTTCTACCTCGCAGGAAGAAGCTCTAACCATTGCTGTCTCCTTCAGGTGGTGGGGTGTACCTGAAATTGGGGAAGACCCTTGTTCTGGTCTGAAATACTAAAAGCAGCTGGTGAAAAGTTCTCTGTGTTGGGGCTGAGATAAGGATAAAAGCAAAAAGTTCTTTGAAGTCCAGGATTGGCTTCAACATCACTCCCTCAATCCAGCTGATAAGGCACTTTCATGCCATGCCAGGGTGGTAGGTTCTTGTACCGAGCGAGAAAAGAAACAACAGCCAGGGAAGTGGGAAAGACAGGCGTGGCTGTTCCTGGAGAGCAGCCACCGAGGGACCTGCCTTTGGGTGCAGCTGAGGGTGCGTGAGGCATAGGTGTCCAGCTGCCCTCTGCGATCCCCACCTTGATGGGGGGAGAAAGCCTCACTAGAACAACTCCTTGCTAAGCCACGCTTCTGCATTCAGGCCTATTTTTAGTGATTTTTTTTTTTTTTTATCAAGATCTGTGATAGCAATTAGGACAAAAATGCAATGCTTTCCTGTCAGCTGCAAGCCCCTGACTCTCCATCTCACAAGTGTGACTGTAGGACCAGCGTGAGCCTTGTGCCTAAGGGGCAAGCTCGGTTTGAACTAGTTGAGCTATTTCGTCTGAATGGAATGTCAGGTGCTGGGTGGGGAAAGGGAGCTGGTTTGAATGCTGCTGGATACAGCCCCACCACTGGGATTCGGATGGGTGGGAGCGGAGCTGGCTGCGGGGAAGGGGACAGCCCCTTTGCAATAGCCTTACAGGTGCTTCACAGAATCCCAGAATGGCAAGGGCTGGAAGGGACCTCAGGAGATCATCTAGTCTAAACCCCCTGCTCAAGCAGGCTCTCCTAGAGCATGTTACACAGGACTTCATCCAGGCGGGCTTTGAGTATCTCCAGAGAAGCAGACTCCACAGCCCCCCTGGGCAGCCTGTTCCAGGGCTCCGTCACCCACAGAGTAAAGAAGTTTTTCCTCATATTCAGCTGAAACCTCTTATGTCTCAGTTTGTGCCCATGGCGCCTTGTCCTGTCGCTTCCTCCCCTGGATGCTCCAGCGCCACCTGAGGTGTCAGCCCAGGCCCTGCTCCTGCCTGGCCCCGCTGCTGTGAGGGCGGGAATCCCGGGCCGGGCCGGCCCAGCCTGC